ACACCCGCGTTTTTCCCTTGGCGTGCTTAGTAGAAAGTGATGGTACGAATCGGGTGTTGTCCATTTATTGGCCGTAATGCTGCTAAAGCCCACACGCGTGCCCTTATTTACGCATGTGTTGATTACGTGAAGAATGTCCTAAAATTTTATTACTCTTGCTACCTGTTCACACTGTTGATACAAACTGCTGACGCTTCAGATTTTTTGTTGCAGGACTTTCCTTCCAACCTAATATTTAGATATTTTGATGATGCTTACCTATAGTGACCACCGAAATTATTGGTCCAATGATTTTCAAATTCATCGAGAAGAGATGCGTCACGGCAGAAGTAAGTTCCATGGCTGATATGGGCTCCATTGACATCAACAAACAAATTACATACCAAAAGCTGTAAATAAGAGGTCAATGATAAGAAAACCAGTTTAACCAATCTACCTAGTATATCGATGGTTGAAGACAACCTTCTCCAATGTACCCACTCAAAGCGTAGTGTTGCCGATCACAACGCTCTCGGTCAAATGATCGAGAACAATAGCCTTATAGAAGTAAAGGGTGTGTATGTCGTTTGACGCGAGCCCTGCAGCCCATTCGACGCGGTTTGTGAGCTGGACAATTCGTCCAGTTGATCGAGCAACCCACTAACTATCCAGCTGAAAGAAGCCCGATCGATGACGCCACACTGATAGGCAGAATACAAGCAGGTCCACGATGAGACGTCCAATAGTGGCGGCTCATCGGTAGGGCTGGATAGGGAGTGGATTGTCCGATTACTGGACGAGTTGACAGCTCGCAAACCGCGTTGAATGGGCGGCGCGAGGGGATGGATCGCGCTAAACGACCGCCTCCCAGTAAAGGGTAATCTGATTTGATGCTAATTGTTGAAGCAAAATCCACTTTGTAATATGTGATTTTAACATCTTCCGCTACAACCTCGTACATCTGGCTTAACCGCGATTTATGCTAAATATCAGTGGTCTGGTAAGCAGTCAAATTCCCAACGAATCCTAATGAAAGCATTCCTCTCTACTGTTTTCATGTTTGGTAGTGATCTGGCATTTTACCTGTTTGCATATGTCCAATAGAGTGTGCTCAAGTTGGATGGTGGAACAGAACTGGCATTCGGATACGATGTAGTGATGAATGAGCTGACAATTTCTAAAGAATTTTGTTCATAGACGATTCATTAGAAGCCCCAAAACACCAATGATTGGTGACTACCTTCAATGTCTTTGAGGGTGAATGTCTGGGATTTTTCCATTGTGGCAACTTGGACGGATAGAAGCATTCTTTCCTGATCAATCTAAGAAAAGAAATCATAGAAAAGAGAAAAGTCAGTATTTGCATCGCTCTGTGCCTTACGTGGATACAATCATACCTTCAGCGCTTGGGCATAGCGACGTTGTACACGGATTTGTTCGGCCCTCCATTCTTCATTGTAGAAAATCCTGAAGGATCAATGAAAATTTGGGATGAGAGAGGGATGGAATCGTATTCTACTCACCATGCCAATCCGAACACTAATACGCCGAAGAGCAAAAGGATAATCAAGGAGGCGATTATTATTCGTAGGGAATAGGGTTTCAACATTGTGATGATTCCAATTCACCCACCTGTTTGGGCTGTAGAGAACGGACGAATGGCCATAGCAACTGGGGAACGAAATAGGAACGTCTTGTTGCCCAGATACGGCAGAAATACAGCGTTGTCTATAAAACGAGTTAAAGAAGCAGACGAATGTCATGACGATGAGATGATGCAGTGATTGCAAAGAATGGACGAGTGGGGCCTGCACTTTTTCGATGGGCTGTATGAGGCATCCATTAAGTAAGAATTTGAGTTAATGTATTAGTAACTTAGCCTTTGGAACTAATCAGGCATTTGTTATAGAAGGAAGCCTACGCTAATTCCACTTTCCCGATGTGTCTTCATCCGCTAAGGAGTTCGTTACAAGATTGTAACTTTGAAGTGACTGAGAGTTGGCTGACAAAGCATGCAGGAAATAGGGATGCCTTTCATAAAGTAGCATTTTGGTACTCAACAAGCCTAATGTGACTCACCTCAGTAACCATTGCTTATTCTCGTTTCCTGAGCGAACAACGAAATTGATTGTTAAGAACGTCCTGAGTTTCATTTGCCCCTTCAATGACACATTGCAAGAGTATTCGACTATCCGAAAACGTAGTTTCCAGTCACTGAAGGTCCATGCCTAAGTATCGCATATAAAACCTGCCCCTTTGAGGCGGGAAACAACCGAAAACCCATTTCTTTCCCATCTCCCATAAGAGGGACTTTGAAGAGGAGGTATGGGGCGGCAGTGGCTTCGTGGCATTTACCGTGACATCAACTAGGCATTTGAATTTCCCTTTCACTGACATGATGTATGAGGCACGCAGCCTGGGTACGAGGCCCCACGTTCTACTCCCTTCCGTTTCCGTCCGCATGTCTGTGAGAATTGCACTCGCAAGCGTGGATATATGGAAAGTGGTGAAGTCATGACAGCGTCAAACTTTCGTCATTGTACTCATTTTCAAATCTCAATATCGTTTCTAAGTAATTGGGCACCACGTACCAATAGGAGGTGTTCTGGGCGTAGAGATTTGAGGACGTCTTGTGTGGTGAGGAGATAGGAGAAGAGAGAAGGCAAGTGAGTGGAAAATGGATAATCTTTTTTTCTTCACAAAACTAGATAAGGTAGAAATGAGCAACCTGAAGTAGGTACTCGGCTCTGAGATTCGCAAAGAACTTTTCGGGATGGACGAAGCTGCACTCAAAAAAAAACAGGGTGAATATATGAAACCAGGGAAAAATTTTATGGAAGACTTTAAGTTTTCGGAGGGAGATCAAGTGTTCGCTGTGTACTGAGCCGTTACAATGGCAGTCAAAAATTGTAAATATAGAAGAAATCGGCGAGAGATGTTCATAGCCTTCAAAATAGGATTGAATGATTATCATGGTTTTCAAGTGAATAGGGGGAGAGATGAACGATTCGTAGACTCAAAGAGCCGATATCAAAACCCACGTAGGTAAACCGCCTCCATTCAGTAAGAGCTTGCTTCAAGGAAGTACACCTGGCATGTAGTCAAGCACACAATCAATTTATATTCATTCAGCGATCTTTCCCTGCCAATGGCAGCCTTGATAAACTGATCCGAGAAGTGCAAGAACTATATCTTTCACATCGCCCAAATTTCATAAGACTCTTCATTGGTAAATGGTGGAAACTGAATGTGGGTGAAAATATCGAAGCTTCCGAGCTGCCCTCTTTCACCCACAAAAAGCCAAACCTCTCTCAACTTTTTTTTCAGAGCTTGACCTTCTACTAGTTAATACTTACATCGTTTTTGCCAAGAACTAATATAGATGGGTGTCAGCAGCATCATCGTCATAGCACTTACACGACCTTTGAAATGCAAGCATCCTTCGTATAGACCTCAGCAGTAACGATAGCGCTCAAAGGATAAAGTGCGTCGGAGCTGAAGAGTCTTGCATCTTCGATGGTGCTCCCGAATCGCTGAATCTCTCCGAAGAAGAAAGTTCTGATCATAATGCAGGCTCGCGCTCATGACATCATGCTTAAAAGCACAGTTAACGATAAAAATGGCTTCTGAGATTTCCCCATAGGATGAATTTGAGCCCCTTTCGTATAACATATCTGGCACTATTAGGTCGCAAAACGGCATAGTTAGGGAGTTGTAAAGTCTCAAATATTGCACCGTCCGAGTTCCACAGGCATTGTAGAGGCTGCGCGGATCGCAAGGAAGACCATGTAGGAAGTCCGAACAACTCGTAATGATCCATAGAAAGGCAGTGAAATGCAGTTCTGTACAGTTCTGGCTCAACGTCTTTGTTCTTCAGTTCTTTGCGCGATTGCAACAACTGAAATCTCGTCCGGAGACCCCTTCCATGTTGTTTCCGTCGTAGTAATCTCCCCAAGCTTTAATTGCCCGGGAAACAACCCTTGCGTGGGTCCGTCGGAAGCAGATTACTCCGCCTACTTCGCGCGAGGCGCACCCCACTGAGGTCACGAGATGGCATTTAAGTACCACCAAGTGTCAGGGGAGCGAATAGTTTGCATTTGTCCGTGTTATCTTCTCTTACAGTCGACTCCCGTGGAACAAGCGCAAATAGTATGCCCCGCTGACAACTGCGACATTCGACAAGAATCGAGGGCTGACCTGCCGCATGCGACGGCTGCGGTGTAATCTAGGGGAATTAGGGGCGTGCAGCGGAACACACTCCTAATCCCCGTACCTTTAAGGAGCCACATTTTTCTCTCCACTGGCGGAAAACTTTCGCTTTTTCACCACCAATCAACTATTTCCCGCTTTCGAATGAAAACGAGTACCTCAAAATTCGTGAATTTGCCTATAACCGTAGTTGCGCAACAAAGAAAACAGTAAGTCGGTGTCAGTTCAATGTGGGCTTCTTCTTGAGGAGGCATAATATGTGGTTGCTTCGCAGTCCTACCATTCCCAACCTGCTCGTTTTACAGTGTTGCACAAGTTACACACAGTAAAGATATATACCACGTCCTTGCACAATTATGGTGGAACTCGAAAATCCATTTGTACTTCCAATTCTCCACGCCAGGCAACTCAGCAAAGGTCCCTNCGCAGTCCTACCATTCCCAACCTGCTCGTTTTACAGTGTTGCACAGGTTACACACAGTAAAGATATATACCACGTCTTTGCACAATTATGGTGGAACTCGAAAATCCATTTGTACTTCCAATTCTCCACGCCAGGCAACTCAGCAAAGGTCCCTCTGCGAACTCACCCCTAGCACGTTCACTAGTTCAAGAATGAGACGTAAAAGTGATTTTCGTCTAATCCTCAATAGGCGTTTCGCCGCATAGCTGGATACGAATGTGTCAATTCAAAGGACCACTTGAATGTTTCGGTGCAGCAGCCACAGCTGCACATTTCAACGATGCTAAAATGCCATAACCTGTGCATGAAACTCCAGTAAGGACAAGGTGCAATGCAACTGTCCTCAAAGCACGGTGCACGGAATGAAATTAGCAACGCAAGAGCTGCTAATTATAACACATCACTTTACCATAATCGCAGCAGATGCGATCGTAGCTGAAACACAGGACAGTGAAAACACACTACTAATTGAATCCCGTAAGCAACTTCGAATGGCATAACTTTTAGTTGATCCGCCTTGTTTTTGCGTACAACAACTATAACGGGCTGCTATAATTGTCAAGAAGCTTCAAAAACAAGGACATACTGTTTTTCCAAAAATCACGTGGAATCGTTCTGATTGTACAGACCAATCACATTCATCATAGTTGTACAGGAAAACGCCAAACAACTACCCTAACACATACCCTCCTCTACCTCACTTCTGTACCGGACGAAGGAATTTTCAGCACAAGTGAAAACACTGAACTCAAAAACTGGTGGATGACAACCCCATCCCGGACCTGCGTTCCCTTATGCACGCCATCCTCACACACTGGAAAAGCACTTTAGCAGTGGCATCACTTACAGAGTTTATCGGATCCCCAACCCACCCTTTCCTACCTATTGTGATTGTTGCAATAGTAAAAACAATCCCGATGATTGCAACGTTTGTGCTTGAATTACTCTTCAATTCTTCAATTGCCTTAGCATGCACAAACACTCTTAGAATTAATAACAATAGCTTTCGCGACTCTTTCTAATCACTCGGCACTCACAACTTCAGTGCAGTTGGCATTTCTGACAGAGCGCCCGAAAGGAGCGAGGCAACTGTACTCAGCCAGGCTACTTTTAGACTTCGACGACCGTCCGTCCGTCCGTCCGTCCGTTCAGCGCGTGCGCGACAGCGGTTGCGTGTATGTCGCAACGGCGGTTCTGGACATTGGTGTTGACAGCGACTAACCCGATCGATACTGCGACGGAGATGACTGATTTCGAAATCCCCGTATCTCGGATCTACGCCGATACTCCGAGATAGAAGGTAAGTTTTGCCTTCTGGCGGCGAATAACTTGACTTCACGTGTAAAATACGAAAGGGGAGAGGTTGGTTTGGGTGTGGATTGAAGTTTAGGAGGAAACGTGAAAGGTTTCGAGAGGTGGGGAAGTCTTGTGCGCCCCCGATCTTGCACTCAGGGCAGTAACACTGAAGCTGCAGTTTCTTCGGAATGTTATTGGTGTCGGCTTGGTTTTTGCCCTCTATCTGTTGCTTCTTTTCACTTTTTTTCTCTGTACTTTCTGCCGGTTTTCCGTTGCCTAGTTTTGCTTTTCGTCGTGTTCTCTTTTCCTCTTTTTGCTTATTTTCCTGAATAAGTGCTGGCATTAAATAATACGTGACCGTGTTGTTATAGTAAATCGCTAATACAGTTATTATTCGCCATTGATTATGAGTGCAGTTTCTTCATTCGTGATCATTCTACTTTCAGGCTAATAGTATTGGAGGTGTAATGTGACAATCGCGTAAAACCTCAGGAACGCAAGGTTAGTTTTTTGATCTTAATTTTAGTGGATTTAGCTCCTTATATTTTTGCTCTTTATTCATTGTGTGGAAAGTTCTTTGTGCCATGTAAGTGCGGTGGGCACATAGTGGATTATTTTGTTCTGTTATTTTCCTTTGAGTTCTCTTACTTACGATTTGTATACCCTTGCGTACTTAATAATTTCGGCAGTGAAGTTTTCATGTGTGTTATTGGTATTTCGAATTTTTNTTTTTCATTTGAACAAAATTCGGCGATCTTCAAATGATGTGCGAGCACGACTAGCTGAATTGGTAGAATTGCAACTTCCTCTCTGGGACCACAGAAGTGAGCCTTACAAAATGAAGGAGCAGAAAGACAGTGCGTGGGAGAGGATATTACGTACTTTAAGAGGCGATGGCCACAATGTGACATGTACGTTTTGTTTGGTCGTCCAAATCCGTCTAGGGCCATCGCATAAGCTAGATTCATGGTGGATATTTCAGTAGCAGACGTAAAGACTTTATGGAGAGGTCTGCGTGATACCTGGAGAAGGAGAAGAAATAGGAGGGAGACGGGCTCGCCCCACTGCCCCATTGGCCCTATGAAAATAACTTAAGTTTCTTAGAACAAACCGAGTTCTCATTCCTAATAGTGAAATGCCTTCGCTAGTCCTTACCAACCGTTTCATTCAATTTAGGAGAACGATCTCAAATACTGATGAATATGGGGACTTTCGAAAGTCGCTGGATGAATCGTCGGGCTCTGCGTTTTCAGATGAAAACATACCTCCCTCAGTGAGCCTCTCTAGCAGCATGAGCGACTTTGATGATCCAAATCCAACTTGACGAAGAAAAAAAGGAGACCCGAGATGGTAAGCTGCTTTAGCTAAGGAATGTAAGATGGCCGCGATTTAAACACTACAGAGGGTTTCGAGGTTCTGAAGGAAACCGCGTGTCGCCTAAAAGAAGTGCCGCTCAAGTATCCGCAAGGGAACGAAAGGATGACGAGTATGATTGTTCTGGTAAGTCAACTTGTTACCTTTTTTACAATTTTTCAGCAGCCCTTTTCTAGGAAAATGTGTGGCCTCTGTACTCCCAGGGTATAGCAGAGAATTAGCAAGAAATAAAATGGAGGTGCTGAATTCTGTTCTATTTGCCGAGGGCCGGCTTTACGTCGACTTTTTGCGTCGAATGATCCCGCTGTTCCGCCTCAAGACCAAAGCTAACGGTAAGGTTTCAACAAATGTTGGTGAATTTAGTATTATTATTAATTTATTTGCGACAAAAACCATTAATGTACATATAACCAACAATGACGGGAATATTGTAAGTAATCAGCAGTGTCGACATAAGTCCTTATTAGTTCCCGTGCTCGCGCTGCGTCTTGAGTACCCCCTTCCACTTCTCGCCTTACTTCTTCGAGTGGTTCCAACTCTCGATTGACGGGTAGCCTCTCCACATCTCTGTCGTCAGCCCACCATCCATTTATTAAATTCTGTAATACCTGATGTAGGAAGTGGAGCTGGAAAATCACGGAAACATGGTTGTACAACTAAAGATAATTTGTACTCCGCGCTCGCAGTGTGTAAGGTCGAACAAAGCGGTACCCCTGTGCAAAGCCCTAGTCTATCAGTATATGGTACTGCACCGGGCCAACATTCCCCAAGTTTTGCGTGGGAGGGAAGAGATGGCCGTTGTTGCCGACCAGTCTCTGGAATGGACGCATCTAGTGGTTTGTAAGGCAACTTTGTTATTCCTTGCTTACCTTTATGTTCGATCTCATGTACACTCCTGCATCTCCAACGCGACCTGATGCCCCGACATCAAAGGCCAAAATGCGGTGGTCACAATCCACTACAGCCAGCAGTATGATGGAGTGTTTAGTGGCTTCTGCAAATTATATTAATATTTTATCGGAACCGCTTTCGGATGCAGATGCAGATGACTCATGTTACTGTTTCAGGACGGAACAGAGGAACACAAAACTATCAAGGAGTTGACCGAAGCCTCGCCCAACTTTTGAATTTCCATCTCTTAGCGGGCGACGTCCCGGAAACCTAGGACCTCTGTACACTTGATTTGATATTTATTACACCTTTCCTCCCTGCATTTTATTTGATATTTATTAGTATGTCAGTGCCTATTCGCTTTGGCTCTCTCGCTAGAACTTTATCAAGCATTTGCCAAAGCGATGATACATTGACGAAAGTGGTTTAGATGGCAGCACAAGATATTTGAATGTTGTGGGATGGCTTGGCAAATTTGCATCGCAGCTACCAGGAGTATCGGGAAACCAGACAGCAGGGAAGGCGGAGGCAGTATGTTCGCGAGGAGCTCATTTTAGCTAATATGGTGTAGAGTGTACATAAAAACAAGTTTATTATATATAAGTATTCCTTTGAANATAACTATGAATACATATATAGGCTTGTTAAAGAAATTGTAGAAATCCAATAATGAGCATACTAATTATATAACATTGGGTTTATTTATTCATAAAAACATTCACGTTATTACTACTATTTACGTCATTCCAGGTACATATACAAGTAATATTGTGTAATAGTGCAACTATAGAATGTGAATTAGTGTGTACACATTACAGTTGTATTATACATATACAATTATAGGGTTGTTGTTTACATTAGTTCTACTTTACAATAAGGTCTTATGATAGCATGCTCTAATAAATCTGTGCATAACACGTACACTGGTGAGCAAATCTAATATAATTTTGGGCCTCCAATAAGATCGCTAGTTATGGTGCTCACCTTCATATATCATGCGCTATTGTTTATGTTTTTGCCTTTTATCATTTTATTATTTATGTAGTTATATAGTTAGTTGGTCCATAGTGGAGTTGACTCCTACTCACTGATGGGCCACGGGAGTCAGCTCCACTTGATGATTCGTCTGGCGAAGTAAACGTGAACTAGTAACATTGTACTGTTTTCTTTCAATCTGCACTAATATTTGAAACAGTCTACAGCTATGTGCAGTAATATGACAAATTCAATCAGCTGCTTATGTTTCTCCAGCTCCAGCTGTGGTAAGATTCCTATGGAATTGAGGGAGAAAATGAACGACCAAGGGAGGCACACTGAGGATAGCTGATAAAACTGGAGGAATGAGCACCAATTAAACTGACACAGTATGTTGTGTCCGAGTTTATTCATTGAGCAAAACAATCACAGTGGAGTGGAGACTGGACGAATTCTAGCTTCACATAAGCTGAATTGAATTCCTGTTGGGAGAATCCATGGGCTTTCGTCGATGATTTCGAATACTTCGACAGAGTCCAGCGCCTGCCGTCCGTCCCAGCCAGCCATCACGACGAGGTAGCGATCAAATATGATTTCGCAAACATGATTTTCACGAGCGGTTGATAATCTTGTAGGCAGTACCTGAAATATTTACAGTCAAAAAAATAATAAAACACCATGGATTAATCCAATCATTAAACTAAGCCACAAAAGATAAGCAAGAAGCGCTACCTCAGAAGTCTCGATCGAAATGGAGTAGCGCACAATTGTGTCGACGACAGAAATTCCATCATAGCCACCGATTATATAAATGTGATCCTTGTGTTTCGTACAGCAATGGCCCTCAACGGGATAAGGTAGAATCGATTCCATTTTGATGTTGTAAGCCGTATTGCAATTTGTAAAGCATATCCTAAATGTTCATAAGGAATACACTGCTGCACTTAATTCCTACTCTAAATCGTAGAATGAGTTGAACGAGTTTTGCCGTCCTCTCAGGATTCAGCCCGTATATGCCTAACAAACTGTCGTACAGCGTAATGAGAAACACGCAAAAGAATTCTACACCTCGAGAACTCGGAGTCAACCACCTTGTTTTTGGACGCCGTATTAGCACTCAATTTCGAACACAACAGAATTTCCTGACTAAAATGCCCTGTTTTACTAACCCACCCAAAGATAGAGGAATCACTAGTGCACGTGTAAAATAGCCCACAGAATTCGAAAATGGCAGATTTTCTCTCGAAGCTTCATCGAGATAGGCTCCGTCAAAGGAGTTTTATTCAAAAATTTATAATCCAAAAGTCAGGAGAATTCCACGCCGCTGTCAGGAAACTTGTAGCGACAACTGGTCACGCCTATTATACGAATGAGTCGCAAACAACGGTAGAGTCACCAGGTGCCAATGTTGGATTCCTTATGTTTACAAATGCATACGTTTGCAATGCTATTCTTTCTTTACAAACTCGCTATTTTTGCGTTGAAGTAGGGGCAAGATTTAGTGAATGTGGATTTTTCAAACTTTGACGTTACCATTATTTTGAATGCCGTAAATAACTAAAGACCCGGTAATGGAATGCATGGCGCATTCGGCACTGATTAGCGGCGAATGCATATTTCTGTTTAGTGCACTTGCAAGAAGATGCTGGAAGAGGGATGAAAAAGGATGGGAAAGAAAACCTGAAGACCGTCTTCATAGTTTGGCTTTCGTCCCAGCCTCCGAAGAGTAGAGCTTCCGAATTTGATATGCTCACGCCAACGCTGTTTTTCAATCGGAAAGGAAGATCACGAAGCGACGTTGACGAAACCTAAATGAGCGGTTGTTCAGTCAGGGCTATTTAGGTTATCCATGAATGCAAACGCTTCAATTGTAGCTACAGTACACTGTGTAACTCCTGTTGTAATTTTAGACGTTTCTTATGAGCCGTGGTTCTTTTTACCACGGATCTTTTCATAACCACAGCATTTTGTGAAGGTGGATGATCGACAGACCGGCGCAGAGAGTTGCTGAATCATAGTCCAGACGGATCTTCATACACAACTCTTTGACAGCATCTTCTCGCTCATTTTTGATTAAAAGGCTTATGACATGTGGTCTGTAAGGACTTATGGACTGAATGATGAACGCCTCTACCTCCTCCTGAAATTGTCGAAACATGGACGTGAGCTCCTTAGGCAAGAAATATCTCCTCCAGAGGGTTTATAGGACTGCCTTTACATTTGCACTAACGAACTGTTGGAAAAAAAACCATGACTGTCTTACCCACCATGTTCAGAAAGCTCAACGCTCTCCTCACACTAGATATGCCCCAAAATTCTGGTACAATTTCAACACGAAATATCCTTGGCTAAGAGCAAGTCGGACTATTTCTGCTTTAAGAACTCAAAGACCGCAGAAAAGTATGAGAAGTGACAGACTTCTCAAATATTTCTTAAGGTACAAGTAAAAGTCTTCATGGGTCGATCAATACCGTCTGAAGGATGTGCCCTCGTATTCGACTTCCATTCGAATTGTGGTGGTGTAATGAATGGCCTATACAATGACTTGTAGTGGCCAGTCGATGTACAAGTAATCGCTTTTATCCTCGTAGGCGTCTGGAATCAATTAGCCGACCACGGAGAGCGGGAATGCTAGGTTGGCATGGGAGGATATCGTTCCGGGATTTGAAAACGTAACCATGCGTGTGTGATGTGACGCCACTTGCAACTACACCACCTCCATGCTATCGTTGGTAGCGGTATCCCTTTGAGGGGGATATCACTCAATAGAGAAGGCATTTTATTTTACCACAATTCTTCGGGCCATTCAAACGCGATGAGGGTTTCAGCGACTGTGGACTCCTTTGCACAGCGAAGTTCTACTCTAAGCATCTTAGTAATTTAGTTGGATGACTGACCTCGCGTTCATTGAGTTTGACGAGATTCACACTTTTCAGGCAATCCAATCCATTGAAACCTCCAATAAGAACTCCTGCACACTCCTAAAAACCATTGATTCTTGTAACAGAAGATGGCTAGACACCCTGTTGAAATTTAACAAAACCCCATAAAAACACTGGTAACTATGGGACGTAAAAAAAAGTGCAGTTCGAAGAAGAACAGTTCAAAAACTCTGAAACTTTCAAATTTTCCTTTTCCGATTTGGTTTTAAGTAATCTTGAGACTTCCTTCACTACAAAACCACAGTGACTGCAAACTTACTTACATTCATTACTCTTCAAATATGTCACAGATACAAGCAGAAAGCTATGTCACAACTTCGTGTACTGCTCTGTTCTTTCAGTTACCATGCCCTCACACCCATGTAGTCAATCAGTTGTATGAAAAACTCTGCTTGGTAGGAAAAAATTTCCGAGATTATGTATGTGGCTTCTGCACTGGACTGATGTACTAACGCACGCCTGGACGATCTCAAAGGGAGCTAAACGTGAGGCGACCCAATGAATCAAAACATACTCTCTACCCTGACTTCCTGCACGGTTTGCGCTTTTTTTCGGAGAACCATTTCTATGCTTAAGTTCTAACACTTAATTGTAAAAGCGAAGGCTTCCTGACTCATACTCTGCTTATGAATTGAAAAGAATCAACAAAACAGATAACAAAGCAAATGAAGGCTATAAAAAAACCTCACATCTAGTTTGAAGAAAGCGCTGCAGCTTTTTGCTTCAACCACGTTCTGAAACACCGAATTACTGCTTTCCAGCAAATTTCGATTCCACCGAATTCGTTCAGCACTTCCCGTATGCACACCTTTCCTTTGACATCCTGTAACAAAATAGAATTTGCCTGGAGTTATTGACTCATAATATGTAACAGTTTGTAGCCTCTCGTAGAAGGATGGCTGTACGCCGCTAACATCTTTCAATTTTCAGGGAGATTGTCTAAAGAATAGGTCCGTACGTAGAAGCATTAGGGAACATTGAGAGGGAGAGAGGAAGACTGCTGACGTCCTGCTCCGCGCCCATCTTGTGAAGTCTGGCTGTTCACTCTATCTTTAGTTACGCCTCAGGGAAGTGATCGCGATGCAGACACGGTAAGCATACAACGCTCAGAGTCCCTGATACAGATGGAACTTTCGAGTTCTGTCAACAAACAAAAGGAAATGGGGAATGCTGCTACAAACATCAAGGAAGATCGGGTGGGTTGAGAAGCGGAAGCATTAAGCAATTATATGTTGACTGTTGGATCAAAAAGGCTACTTAATGGATTCTTCAGAACTGCAAAGAAATACCCGACCGACTGCCATCTTGTTGACTAGTCCCTTTCACGAAGGCATAGGACGAAAAGAGCGATTCGCATCACGTTTCTAGATGGAAGTCGTCCTACAGTCTTCAAGGGAAATGCTGAGCAAGAGGCGGTTCTGAAGTAGACAAAGCACAGATCAGGAACGATTCGAACTACAGAAGACCTGGCTTCCTACAAAAGCTTACAGAAGCTGCAAGTGGCTCGTCAAGGCTGAAGGGCGAAGGCAACTAATACGAAAGTGGACATTGTACGAGAAGCTAGACAGCCGAGAGAAGTTCGCCTTCCGGGTGCCCAAAGCCAGACACTGGGGTTCTCGAATCATCGTGAGGTCGATAAAGAATAGTTAGACTGGATCCACCGCACTCTGGACAGAAAATGAGGTGCGTTGGGAAATGAGAAGCCAGGAACAGTTCGAATTTATACCATATAGTCTTACAACGGATGCTACCTTTATAACCAGTCAAGTAATGAGGAAATATTTGGGAAATTAAAGGCCTCGTTACGTGGCCTTCCTCGATCTAGTGAACGTGTTCGACCGCCTACGGCGATCTATGGAAACCGTGGACGATAAAGAGCAAGAGGAGTTAGCTAAACGTGGGGACCGTACAATACAGCACATTTCCCTCTTCGGATTGACCTTTAAGTGAGGGGTTCATGCTGTTTCAGTTGCGTTGTGTTGTAAAAACGTTACCACGAACCTCCTAAAACAAGGAATCCATTCTTTTCAGCAAACACTGCAGGACTCCGTCGAGGTTCTCGTAATTTGTAGACAATACTCTTGTTCATGTCGATTCCTTCCGGAGTTTTGCGGAAGCTTAATTCCTCGACAGAGCACAGAGCACCTCCCTCGTCTCTCTCAGTACAGCCGCCAATAAGAAGAACCGCTGCAGCAATCCGACGGGTAAGCATTTCCTGACGGGGTTTCTAAAAACACTGAATTAAATATTACCAAAAACACTAGAGCCTATTCAATGATCTCCATATCATCAAAACTTAACACAGATTTTCATGACCTTGCAACTATCCAAAAAGGATCTCGATTACATTCGCCAGTTTCGAACATATTAGGAGCACAATTTGGTTAAAGGCCTGAGATAATCACTTACTTCGGTATATTCTACAATATGGGCGGAGGTGGTGTAGTGGTAAGTGGTCTCTCTCTCTCTCTAACACGCACGGTCAGGGGTTCAAATCCCGGATCGATATCCGCCTAGGTCAACCAAGCCTTCCATCCCTCCGGGGTCGGTGAATTGGTACCAGACTTGTCTGGGAGGATACATACATAGTCTTTCTATGCTTCGCCCGCATTAAAGAACTCATTGTCCTTTTCTTCCTCGTTGTCAGGCTCTTGTGAAAAATAGTTATATAAGCTGCTTGGTCTTTTCACTCTGTCAACTTGTCGTGGAAGTTATCCACGTGGCATAGTAAATTTCGAAATGGTCTTCAATCTAATTGACACTCTAAGACAGTGGGTGATATCAATCGATCAGAAACCTCATAGTGACAGTGGAACGTAGAATAATGGCGAGAACAAGATTTCGAAGCCTCGACAAAGACAAAATACTTGTGGCCGCTGGACGTCGGGATAACGATTGAATGAGTGTAGACAAGAAACACTTCAAGAAACAAGAGGGCTCAAGCTGTTGAAATTCGCGTAACCCACCCAGTTTCCCACATACACAAATTCTTCAATTACTGTAAAGATACTCGACTTTTTAAGTGCCACTCAGAATAGGTATTCTAGCCCTCAAGCAACAAGTTTTCTTCTCTTCGGAGTTTTCCACAGTATCAGGAACATAGGTTACCAGGGTAAAGTTTCAATGAATCTGGGGCAAGGTGGCTGCATAAGATGAAGTAGCATGAACAATTTTTAGTCGTCGCATAGCCAGTAAATCGACATAACCCTTTTCCTCATTAGCATTATTGATATCGGACGCAATGAAGGCGTACTTGTACTATAGTTTTAATATCACATAATCGATCTTTTCAAATCATGGTATTTGGCAAAAATAAAATAGCTACCTACCCAAAGGCTCCACAAAAATGAGCAGAAGGTATGCTTTCTTCGTGTTACATGAGGAGTACTCTTAGGATCTTTCATGCACATCAAGGTGAAATTCTCCGGTTCTGATGTGAGCAGGGACACCTCAGTAGACCACAATATTGGGAAACGTATTTTTAACACTTTTGGCGCCGTTACATGAATAAAATCTAATAATCTGAATGCCTAGGGAACCTAGCCTTAGTGGGACATGCCTGGATATGGGCAAGCCCAGCAAACAATAACTAACTCTTGGCTTAAAACCCAGAGTCAAATTCGACTTGCTTGACATCGACCCATAGCGTTTTCGTGTCAACGTCATTATATTGAATGTACGTAAGGCGGAAAGCAGACATTCGGCCTTTTAGGCAAAATCACCGTGACTTAATATAAGGAATACATCGTGAGATCAAAGATCGAGGTATTTTGAGACAGGAAGAACAGAATGGAGATCATGATTTATTAATGCATGCGTATCAAACCTGATCAGTGATAAATTCAAAAGTATCACAAGTGAATAACTGTGAAGCTTTATAGAAACTAGCTGAGAAGCGAGACGTCCCATTCGGACCTCTATCGGTGACTTAACCGTTGCATCTGACCTTGTCTGGCTGACATATCTAGTCGCCGCGGGCCAGAACGGACCTGAATGGGGTATACGAGATTATGAAAGATGAATCAAGTACAGATGAATGGCACGACAAAAATGTCTGGGTTGGAAAGGAAGCATGAAGAAGGTGGCCACAAAAGGACGGCACAACAAAAAATGCTCTCGATAGCGAAAACTCTACATATTGAGGTGTGCAGCAGAGCAGGAAGGTTTGCGGAAAATAAAAATAATATACATGTTAATCTTCAATTCCACGTCAATGGTGCCGAATTCTTCCGACGCTTTCACTACTCTCTGTACAACTGTGAGAACGGTCACTCTTCGTCGAAATCCGGACCCACATACACATGACTGAAGCATTCAGGGACGACCCCTTTTTTGGGATTACAAAAACTATAACGAACAAGTTTATTAGAAGCCACAAGCATCACGCCATGTGCGACTTTCATTCCAATGATTTCCCATTTCAGATTATCCGTGACGTTTTCAGAAGCGAGTGTGGAGAACTCGGAGGAAACGGTATTGCTCTGGAGATCTCTCTTGAACGACGGTATTGACTTGGCTCCAAAAGAAAGATCCATCCCTTCTCCCGGTCAGTTACCCACTGTTGCGTTTTGAAAGGAAAGTTCACTCGAGTGGCGCTCATTCTACACAGCACAAAGAGTGTTTGCGTCTCAATGACTCATATGCAAAAATAACATGATCGAGGCAAGACGATGTTACCTGTCCGATGACTTCGCTTCTCCTGGAATTCCCACTTGATCGAATCACTTTCACATACTTGATTGAGATGTCATGATGATATCCAGCATGGACTTCTTGAAGCTACCACTGCAATAAACCGACTGGACGCACATGCACATATGGTTTTCGAATCATGATTTAATTGTATAACAACAGAGATAGGCAACGAGTATGAAACGGGCGCAATTACAAAATGGAGATGATATGAATGTGACAGTCCCTTAACCCAAGAAGGCGTATAGGTAAAAAGAAAGGCTATGGCAGTTCTACAAGGTAAAAAGCTTATGAATTTAAGAAACAAACGAATTCAGGAAGAAAACATGCCAGAATTCTTGTGACGCAAGTCTAAGTAGAATTCATATCAGGTCTGATGAAAAAATGCATAATTGATCTAATGGGTTCACTATATTAATTTTTATCAAAAATAACGCAAAAAAGTTTAAGACACACTGTGCAATTGCGTACAGAAAGCTACCGTTACTTACGCCTAAATTTAATACATGTCCCTTGGAGGTGTTGGAGGAATGCTCGCTGTTGTTTTGGCTGTTATACTACTTCTGATGGATTCCTATTACTACTTGTTTTGTGTAGCTCCCTCCTCATCGTGTATAAACCCGTCCTCCCGAGTGGTGAAAACGCAAGATGAGTAGACTCACTTGTCCCCATATAGAGTGCAACAGCAGTGAGAAACCCAAAAGTACTTGGACGAGGAATCGTTATGCAAATCCCGAAGTGATCCTTGTAAATTGAGTAACGGAACTTCCCCCTGAATAGCGGCAGTGGTTACGCGGCGGTTACCCTATCCTTCCACTGGAAAATCAAACCTTTTCCTCTATAGCGCGCAACCGCGCGCGATCGAATGTGGCAAGCTCGGCGTTGCTTTCGGGGAAAAGATATCGGATCTGGTAAATTAGCAGTGAATGCTGGGTAGTGTGGGTAAATGGTCAACCCAAAAAATGTTCGCTTGTTTGCTAGTTAAGTTAGTTTCTTAATCTTTTTGCGTTGCTTTAGAAGTTGAATACCCTCCACAGCCTTTTCCTGGTATATTTAGAATTCTTTTTCAAAGCAAACAACATGTATACGAGTTCAGTACTATTTTTCTGGTTAAAAATTAGGTACTAGTCATTTGCCATTGCCGTAATGGTAGTAACTTCACACGTTGATGATGCTGTTAGGCCCCTTTTCTAGCCATTCATTAGGATAGCTGCGTAGTGATCCTTTTATGGAGTGTTGTAAAGCCCTGACCAAGATGATATAACTTTTTTTGTGGTTGATGTTCCGGCCTTGTGCCTTCGTTCGAGCCTGGAATCTAAGAACAGGCCAGAATATAAAAAATAAAAGAGCCCGTTCTTGATCGCTTGCTGTCCTCTACCGCCTTATGTAAACGAGTGCTTTTCCACCTGCTTGAAGAAGAAGGAAATGGACACGTGTTCTGAACTGTGCAGACCAAATGGTGTACGTAACCTACCAGCAAGGATATGTTGATTGATTTCAGGTGTGCGTATCCACTTAGACCTAGGATAATCAAGGTTAACTTTTCAATAGGCGGGAATGGTCTTATAGGAACGGGAAGAGGCGGAATTCCTCCAGCTGATCGGAAAGTTGCTGTCTTTGAAGGTTATTTGAAAAGAGGGATCAAACGCAGCCCATCCGTACTAGATCACACGAGCTTGTGACAGGAATTTCGAAGAAGATGATTTTTTGCCTTTCCTCCGAGTCGAATTCCATCAATTCAAACGTGAGATTGGCTTTGCGCAAGTGCGAAGCCATTCTCAGGAGGAATCTGTATTTAAACTTCACTACAACTTCAAAAGGTATTCGAGCACGTGGTCCAATTGCAAAACAGGTTAGATGACGGTAGAAACTTCATCCTTACCATTTATTATTTAGAAGACTACTGCAAACTTCTTGTCAACAAAAACTTTATCCAGGAAATACAAGTTAGCAGCGTTTGTAACTGAGAAACTCGACTCTATCTTTCCCAGCATGGAATGACTTGCTCCCTGATTGCTCAATCCACGTTGCAAACAGTGAAGAGCATGGTGGCCACGACAGCAACTACATGAACCCGTCTTTCGCATTAAGAATTTACCAAATTTTGACTAAGTCAAACAAGCTCCCGGTCACGCAATCAGTTAATTAAGAGCATTGGCGAACCACAACGTACGCCACCGTCAACCACAGTACAACTTTCCCAGTGTAGGATTCTACAGGGTGGGCCAAAATTATGATTACAGCGCGCGCTGACGT